CCCAGAAAGAGGCTGTCAGCCCCAGAAAGAGGCTGGCAGGTGTGCCAGGACCAGGGAAGTAGAGGGAGGTGAGGGCCGGGCCAGGACCAGAAGCGGTGCTCCTGGGGCCCAAGAAAGGCACTAAGTTTGTCTGGGTGAGAAGGATCAGGAAGCAGTATTGATTTCCCAGGTGTCTGGGGCCCCAAGACTAGGAATGGCACAGGTCCCAAAGTAGGAGTATAAAATGGCAGCTGGGGGGGCGGGGGGGGGATGGAAGGGTGAATGAGGCTTAGGGAGTCCCGGTGCGGAGAGCTGCGCTATAGACTTACCCCAGGAGGCCTGAGGATAGTAGTGCAGGCTCGAAAACTTTATAATTTTTGCATGTTGAGTTTGTAATGTGTTACTTTGCTGAAAAGATTTATCTGACCTAAGAATTTTCTGGGAGCATTAGTATAGGATTCACGGCATCTGCAAATAGGGATAAACTGACTTCTTCCTTTACAACTGTGTCCCTTTCATTTCTCATCTTGTCTTATTGCTCCAGCTGTAGTAAATACGAATGCGGACAGTGGACACCCTTGTCTCATTCCAAATTTTAGAGGAAATGCTCTGTTTTTCCCCACTTAGTATAATGCTAGCTCTAAGTTTGCCATATATAGCATTTATTATATTGAGATATTGCAGCATTTACTTAAATAAAAACAGCCTGACTCTTAGCATCCATTTTAAGTCAAATGGCTCTGAACTGCTGAGGACCTGTTCCTTCAGAATGATCTTGGAACTGTGCTCCCAAAAAGGCTCACTCTTTCTTTATAGAAACAGTATAACCAGTATGAAATGGGGAAGTAGAAGTCAGAGGCTTATCTTATCAGAAAAGAATTTTGTACTTTCTGATCCCTAAGGATTTAGACCCATACATACAACCATAAACAAATGTTATCAATTTCTCTCATTGTTTTCAATGAGATAAGCAGTTTGCAGCACTTTGATAAGTAAATATGAATGTGTGTGTGTGTGTGTGTGTGTGTGTGTGTGTATTCACATATCATTTTGCATCCAGAGTAAGGAAGGGTAATGAGAGATTAAGACCATACACCCCAAGTCACAAGAGGGGCACCTTGTACATTCTACAGTATAAACAAGTTAAGATTAACTTTAATGAGTGTTGTTGGTTGCAAGGTTAGGTAAAAGTCAATTGTCCACAGCATGTCCACACTGCAAAAGTCATTCCTACAGTTACCCCTTCTTAGATTTATAAATGAAGAAGCAGGTAAAGTAATTCTCACAGGACATGGTCCTTCTTCAGGACTTTTATTGTGATGGTATTTTGAATTTTTTCAAATGTCTTTTCTGTATTTATATGGCACATAACATTTATTTGTGTTATGTTGAGCCAACTTTGTATCTCTGGGAGGAAATTACTTGGTTGTGATGTATGATCTTAATATGTTCTTGAAACCAAAGTCTACAAGTATTTTGTTGAGAATTTTTGCATCTTTCCTTCTCAGGGAAACTGGTCTATAGTTTTTGCTGTTGTTTTTAAATCTGGTTTTGGTATCAGGGTAATACTGGCTTCACAGAATGAGTCTGGTAGGGTTTCTTCCCTTTCTACTTTGTAGACAGTTTGAGAAGTCCTGCTCTTAGCTCTTTCTTGGAAAGTTTGGTAGAATTCAGCAGTCAATCTGTCCAGTCCTTGGCTCTTAAAATATATATATACTGCCTCAGGATTTTACAGAAGTCTGTTTTAACAACTGCCTTTTCATCTCTAATTTTATTAATTTGGGTTTTTTCTTTCTTTTGGTTAGTTTAGCTAGGGGTTTATCAATGATGTTCATCAGGTCAAAGAGCCAACTCTTTGATTCTACATGTATACTGCTCTTTGAGTTACTACTTTATTAATTTATGCTCTAGTCTTTATTATTCTGGCTATTTACTGCATTTGGGTTTCGCTTTTCATGTTTCCAGAATCTTCAAGTACA